GGGAAAGAGGAAAAAGAAAGAAGTTAGTAGCTATAACACTACCGTTATTTATCTCAGCGAACTTCTCTTGGGCTCCCTTATTTTTGTTCTTATCTGGATGATACTGAAGAGAAAGCCTACATATCATGGACATACAGCGTAAGAATGAGCTAGAGAAACTTAGCAATAAGTAACATGTTAGTATATGTGCTATACCGCACATATGAAAATACTAAAAACACACTCATAAACAAATTGCTGCACGTGTGCAAATAGACACAAGACATTATAAAAGCCACTTCAGAGATCTATGTGCCGCTACACCCTTGAAAAACTACTAAAAAGTAAAAACAACTAAGGCATACAAATTTAGTAATTCTAATAAAAAAAAATCCTTTAGTAAAACAATGATATACATAATTATATCCTAATTCTAGTCCATGCGTGCTTAAAATATAAGGTAGCAGTAAAACAAATGAAGAGCTAAGGAATCTAGAATATTAGGACCCTCATAACAAGAAACGGAATATGATGAAAAACGTACTTGTGGAAAGCTTTCTGAATTTCGCGTTGACTTGCGTTTCGCTCAACCCCAAGAACCTGATTAGAGTTTACAAAAAAAATAAATAAATAAAATAAATAAACTAAATAAAATAAAAAAATAGTAACATAATAGACTAATAAAGATGCTAGACAACGAGCCAAGAAACAAGAGCCTGATGAGAATTCAAAACCCATTAAGCAATATAAAAGGTTGATAAAGAAGCAAATTGAACGTGCCAACAAATAACTTCACAGCTGAGTATCTCTATCTGAGCTAACCTTCACCATCTACATTCTATAGTTATTTGTTTACTAACCTTTTTTTCAAGCTATTCTAGTACATTATTTCTTTTTTGTCCTCTTCATGTTGTTCTGGCTAATTCCAAATAAATTGTTTCATCTAAAAGAGAAATAACTCCCCTTTGTTTTTATTTTTAACTTTTTTCCATTGGCTGGAGAGGCAGCAGCAGCAGCATAATATGCCAACAGCTGCATTTTTTGGAGCAGCATTTTGCTCATCTAGTTGATTAAAATTTTCCGTCAAAAGTTTTCTTCAAGAAAAAAAGAAAATTAGGGAAAATTCGATTCAACAAAAAGCAAATGACCTAGGAATGAAGCTCCGATGAAAAACAAAAACAAAACAAAAAACAAAAAACAAAATCAAAATTCCAACATCTAAATACCACTAAATTCACAACGAAAGAAAGAGTTAACGAAAATTACAATCAAACAATGTCAAAAGCAGTAAGCAACAGAAATCAAAAGGAGTGAAGAAAACTCACCTTATAGAGATCGACTGTTTTTGCGTCCAAGATTACAAACAAAACCGACGACGACAAAAAAATCGCCAGTGCTAAACGGCTATCCATATCGGAAACCGAATTTCCTCAATGAAAAGTTTTGGATTTTCCAATTAGCCAGCCCTAGTCTTGGAAGTTTGGGAAGAACTTTCTCTTCTTCTTCTTCTAATATTAATTTTAGCGCAGAGAGAGTGTATGTTTGGCACGCAACAGACGAGGAGAGAAAGGGAAGAAGAGAGTGAATAAATCGGTTCGCGGGATCGTACAAAATCCAGAGTCTTCTTCGAGTTTTAAAACACGCTGATGCACGTGGCGCAAATCCTTAGTTCCACGCATATTGACCAATCAGATTTTAGAATTCAGTTTGATTGTGTAAGCTCACGCGCTCGTTTCTGTACGCGCTGGTTTCAAAGAGACAATGAGCATGTTCTTTTGTCTAAAAAATTTTAAAAAAAAACAACTCGAGTTTTAATTTTATTCAAGTTTATGTTCTTTTAAGTTTTAATTTTATTCAAGTTACAACTTCAACTCAAGTTATAACTCAAATTCAACTCATAAACTACACTCAAGTTACACTCTAAAAGAACAACCCTAATATCTCGACTTTGTCGGACTCCAGAGCATGATTATCCTTTTCGCGAATTGAAGATGATGTCGGGTTAAAAGATTTAAATTATGATTTAAATTATAGTTCATAATTTATTATAATATTTTTTTTATAAAAATATATGTAAATTAAAAATAATTTTAATCACATAATTTTAATTTATAAATTAAACATCTCATAAATTTTTAATTTAAATTAAAATGTAATTTTATATAAAAGAATTTTATTATAATAAAAAAAATTAAATATAATTTTTTATGATAATTTTTAACTGTAATAAAATTAAAATTAAAAACTCAAATTTATGAAATTAATGAGTCTATAACCCTCCCCATCCGACAAATATACAATCACCACGTCAGTTTTCACCTTTTATTTGAATTTGTGCCTTAAGTCCCTACACTTTCTTACTTGTGACACTTGAGTCTCAATTTCAAAATACTTTTATATTTAGGTCACCAAACTCGTCCATAAATCTTTTGTTACTTCTGCCGTTAACATACCCTTTCACCCGTCTCTTGACTCTCTTCATTCTAAAATATTGGTAGATGGCTCCCCAAAATCGCAAGGTTGTATATAGGTATGGAAATCCATGCCTTCGATGTTAAGGAAATTGGATATTTGAAGAAGTGTATATATAAATTTATAGATTTGTGTAGTTGTATTTTTTTCCCTTTTTAGTTGAAAAATAATAGCAGAAATAGATGGTTGGAGTACGACCTTAAAAAAGAACAAAAGATACTTTATTGATCTTTTATTTTCCGTAATTTGCACCAATTTTCCTTTAATAGATTGTTGTTTACCATCATATCTTGGAGTGATTTTCTGATTTAACCCAATCAAGTATAAAAGACTTTCTAACTCTAGTCTAGGTTGGCTTGGCCAATTCACTTAAGTTTCCCATTTAAATCTTTCATTCTAGAAGTTGCTTCGGTTATTATTCTTTCATTTCGTCTTATTATAACACGTCATTTCTTTTAGAACAAAACATCATTGTTCAATTCATTATAGCTTTCATTCCCACACTGTACAATCTTAAAAAGAACAAAAGATACTTCATTTACTTTTTATTTGGGTAATTTGCACCATTTTACCTTCATTATCTTGTTATTCATGAGTTTACTTTTAAATCTTGCATATGAAGCTTAAATCCAACAATGCTTAACACAATACGGGCCCGTTTAGTTCGTTGATTTGAGTTTTTAATTCGAGTTGAGATGTAATTTTATGTGAGAGCTTTAGACTATAACAAAAAAGTTAGATATGAATGTTTTTAAGAGTTTTTTATTGTAGTAAAACTCCAATTCTAAACTTGAATCGGTGAAATAAACGGGGCTTTCAATTCAATCCATAACGAGCGTCAAAGTTGCTGTGACCAGAAGCATGTAAGTGTTTGGTAAATTTTTTTCTAAAGTTGTTGTGAATACCAGAAGCAGAAATTTAGGCGTTTGGTAGACTATGTACAAAATTACTCTGAAGATATATAATGACTAAAATAGACATACTTTAACACACATACTTGTAATTAGTTTTATTTCTATTTTTATAATCAATATTCATAATATTTATACACCAAAATGCAAAAAAAAAAAAAAATCATTTTATTAATTAAAATCTCTAAAAAAAATAAATTAGTTTTATTCAAGGAGATAAATTATAGATATCTATAAAGAAATTAAATAACGTAAAGAATTGAAGGTAAATTATTTTTCAAACTAGCAACATTATAACAAAAATATATTATTAAAATTTAGCATAAGATATTTATTAAATATTTTTACTTTTCATATAAACATTAAAAATAAAATATATTCTTTAATTTGATTTGAAAGAAATAAAATGAGTTTTATCTCTCTTGAGTTTTATTTCTCTCTCTGCATCCTCTCTATTTCTCTCTCTAGTGGCTTTTTCTTCCCTCCTCGAATTTATTTTTCTATCTCTAATCTCTTTCTTACATTGATCCTACATCAGCCATGCTTTATAATGCTATGACAGCAACGTCTCTAATACCGTTTTTCATTAATTCATGAATTGTCATTCTTTCATCTAATTCTTAAGATTACCACCTTATTTAATAAAAGAGATGGCAAATGAGATTGCATTTGTCAGTGAGAAAATAACAACTCAAGAGTAGGCATCAAATATTTGCACATAGAAGAAATAAGGTAAGAATGCAACCGCACCCCATAAGCTACTAAAACCAAGAGATACAAGGAAAGTTAGTAAAAGACCCATAAACATTAATAATGGTCGGACACACAGCAACTATTGGCAACAGAATGAATATCAGTATCTTATCAAATAATCATAGGAAAAATTTCAGTTCAGTATTACTCCTCCATACATCATATTCTAGCTCAAATCCTTTATCCCCTAAGCATATACTATGAACATATCAGAATATCAAAACTCAGGTTTGTCCCACACCTGATCTTACAAGAAAAGCTACCTCTAATAGTCAAATAACTTCACATCAAAGAGAGAGAGAGAGAGACTGCACATAACATAAGAACCAACAAGGAAAAATTAACACTAAGACTATAAGAACCTAAAAATATACTCACTCGCAACTGATGCAAATATGATACAGAAGATATCATCCTTCAATTCTCCATCTTCAAAATCGGACGCATGCCATACGCATGATTTATGATTTCCAGAATGCTCTTGCACATTCATTGTGGGATAAACTGAAGCAGAACAAGTATACCACATTGAAAATCTTGAAATAAATAAATTAACTAAGGCGTTTTGCTCTCTGAATTTTGAGAGAATAAAAAACTCACACCCTGATAAATCACCGATTAATTTAATAAAATATAATACAGCGCACCCCTTAACTCGATTAATGATTTTAAAGTCTAGAAGCAAACACCTTCATGCACGTGATATCGTTCCACGATTCTGAATCGAAATTTCAGTTTCTTCTTTCAAACAAGCACACATAACGAGTAGCGGACGCTTGCGCCTGAATTTCAACTGTTGTTATTAATTTAAAAGCACTCCACAGCACTTTGCTAAATTCAAGAGTAATTTTGGAAAAATCTAAAGTTTAGATATAACATGCTAGTAGTGAAAAGCATAGGGTAGATTATAACAAATACGAATTAAGTAATTATAGGATATTCGATCCCAGATACACTGATAGTGAATACTTCAAAAACAGAGCTAAACCAATATAAAAAATAAAAAATAAAAAATGCTTCTCGTTGAAAATCGGATTACCTATGTGGTTGGCGCAGATTTTCAACGTTTAGATAAATGAATTCAGAATTATGATTCGTAATTCTTATTTTTAAAATTTAAATTTTTTATGAGAAAAAAATAATTTAGAGAACTATGATTCAAAACCAAGACGGTGCCGGATTCATTGTGCTTAAGAAGCTTCACATTCCCAACGCCTCTCTCCTTCCATTGATTCTCTCCTTTATCGTATCGGTAGAGCTTCGCCTGACTTAAGAAACACGTAAACGGATCAGAAAATGGAATTACCAACAAAAATCAAAGAAGAAAATGAAGGAATAATGAGCGTACGGATCGAGGACGGCGTCTTCTTCTTCGAGCTTGACAAAGGGAGCTCCGGTGTCTTCGTCCTCGACCGGTGGGGTCTCTTCCTCTTCTTCTCTGCGCTCTGGATCACCACTACTCGACATTGCTATTGAGAGAGCGAAGAAGGAAAAAAGTTTTGTTTTTTTTTTTTTATAATTATCAAAAAAAAAAAAAAAGTTTTGTTGATAGGAGCTTGGGAGTGTGACGCCTTTGTGCTGACGAAGAAGTTTGGGGTCGGTGGCTTCTCTGACGTGGGAGAGGGATTGCATGGAGTTGTTTAGTTTAATTTTTTAAATTTTTAATTTAAATTAAGATGTGATTTTATATGAATTTTTTTTATTATAATAAAAAAAATTAAATATGACTATTTTAAAAACTTTATACTATAATAAAATTTAAATCATAAACTTAAATTGATTAAATGAACAGAACATAATTCAACTAATTTATAAAGTATGTTATCATGGGTTAATTCAAACTATAATACTTAATCTAAGGAGATATTTGGTTAGAGGATTCAAACCATGATTTGAATCATGGTTCATAATTCACTACAGTATTTTCTCTCACAAAAAATACACGTAAATAAAAAATGATTCTAATCACATGATTCTAATCTATGAATTAAACGTCTTCTAAATTGAAACTAATATTTTTTCTTCTTTAATCTGAACCGCATTTTTCGTTTCTTTCCTTGACACAGAATTAGAGTTCAAATTAGAAAGTCCTTCGCATTAAACTTATATATACACACACACACCAAGTCTCCAATTCGGTACAAGATTAGAGGCATTTAATATATTTTTTCTTTAAAATATGTATATATATTTTTTAAAATGTGTATATTTTTTTAAAAATATGTATATATTATATATTTTATCATAAAAAGAAATGTACATATTTTAAGTTAAAATATACACATTTTAAAGAGAAAATATACATGTTTTAAAGAATAAATATATGATGCATTTGGAGCTCATTCTAAAATGATTTTATTTTTTATATAAAAATAGAAATGAAAACGTTTTCAATCTCAGACATAAATAATTTTTGAAAATGCGTTTAGTAGTTTTATCAAGAGATTGTTTTCAGTATAAAAAACCTATTAATGTCTCTCTTCCTTTCCCTCTACTCGAGAGAAGAGAAAACAAAAATAAAAAGTAAAAAACGACTAAAAATCGTTTTTCATTTCTCTCATATTTTACACTAAACTAAAAAATCATTTTTATTTCTGTTTTTTGTCTTTAATTGTGTCAAACGCCGTTTTGAAATCATTTTCATTTTTTCTTTCTCGAAAAACAAAAAAAAAAGAAAAAAAAAGAACAACTCCAAACACAACAATACAAGTTCTGCTCCAGCCCGATATATATATAAAAAAAGGTCATTCGGTACCCTTTTGTTTTGAATTTATTCGACCGAGAAATCATCCGGTGATTACCTCACAACTTCTATTTTTTATTTTTTAAGTCTCGTTCGCTTTACGGATCTAAATTTTTAATTCAAGTTTAGATGTGATATTTTTTAAAAACTTTTAACTGTAACAAAAAAAGTTAAACGTGACATTTTTTAAGAACTTTTAACTATATCAAAATATTTAAATGTGATATTTTTTAAAAATTTTAACTGTAAAAATTTAAAACTAAAAACTCAAATTAATGAAAAGCCAAAGCGATAACTAGTTTGTCAAATCCAACTCTTGTTTTTATTTTTCTTTTTTTTTTAATTACTAGTTTGTCGCAGCTGAAGAGGCACCACTGTTTGGCCAACCGACAGTGGGCTAAGGCACGGCTATAAAGCCTAAAGGTTCGTCCTGCAGAAGCTGCATCTAGAAACGGTGTGCACGAAAATACGCTTCTTGTATCCAATATGCTTATTAACAACTTCAGATAATAGTTGTACATTTTAGTTTTAGAAGAAACCTATGTATGTTTATGGCAATTGAGATGATTCTAGAAGCTATAATAAATCTAAATGAAAATAGAAAATCACGAGTCATGGAAAACAAACTCAGGAAAATCCGGCTCGGAACAAATGTCTGATACTATATATTAAACCAACTCATATCCAACCAGATACAATGGAGTGAAGAAGACGAAAGTACCAAAATTGACAAAAGGGTCAAAATAAAATATTTTTAGAAAAGCACTCATTCTTTAGATTCAGCACCATTTGTTGCTGCATCCATAGGCTCGGCTTCTGTGGAGTCCTCTGTTTTCTCACCCTTCTTACCTGCAGTATGAAAAGAGGTTATTCATTTTCTAACACATTTACACTAAAATACAAAGCCTACATACACAAGTTTATCCACCATATTAGAACCTAATATTTTCATCTTTCCAACTCACCTTTCTTCTTTTTGCCACCACCTTTCTTCTTTGTCTTAATGCCCAAAGCCAACCAGGATTTGATTTCAGGGTCCTCTATGATCTTGGTTGGCTGCAGTTCCTGCAGAGGATGGGATGTAATCCGGTCTGATCCATTTGGCATTAGCAAAACTGTGAATTTGATATGAGCAACCAAATCACCTGCAAAACCACCAATTTCATGGTGTGCCAATTTGACAAAGCTCAACAGTAGCACATTTGTAGTAGAAGGTTGTCAATAATTCAATCTCCAATGAAATATTCATACCAGGCTTCTCGTGAAGAACAGGATACGGCTGCAAAAGGTCGTGGTTAACACACTCCACTAAACCCAGCCGAGCCCTTTTCTCTTCCAAAGCCCTGTTGTCCATAATTCAGCATTTTCAAGAGAGAAAAATAACAGTACCAAAGTAAGAAACATTAGATAATCTTGATACATTATCTACCGACCTAGCAGTGAATGGCATGATAGGGAACTTCTGGTTTATTTCACTGAAAATAAACCTCGAAGCTTTCATCTTCAGGTGATAGTTCTTGTCCACGGCTCTCTTATAGATAGTTGTTTGCTTTTCATCCAACAGCCTAGGCTGCAAGTTTGACATAAAATTTTTTGCAGGCAGTCAGATATTGTTGCAGAAGGATGATATCTATAATTAATCATGACTCCTGAATAACGGATTACCTTTCCATCACCCGTGCTTGTGACAATATCAATTGCATAGATTTCATTCTCTTCGAATTCCGCATCATCAACTCTTGTATCTGGATTGGATACACTCAATACAACCTTGTTCCCATCTATCACAAACTGCTTCAACTGGTGGCTAAGAACACCTTCAACAATTTTGCAGTCATAAGCAGCAGCAACCTTCTGAATTGCTTCTGTTACATCTTTGTTCTGACATGAAAACAAGGAATAATAATAAACATCTACAAGACCAACATAAATTAAGAAAAATGTTCCCGCATGAATGCAATTTTATACACCGTGTCTATAAAACATGTCGGCTAGATATGAACGTTAATGTACAGAAATCAAATATATCTGTACTAGAAACAAATTCATTGCCTGTTAGACTATAGGCAACAGGGAAAGGAGGAAACAAATAATGCATTAGTCACCTCGGCAAAGTTGCCATAGTCAAATCACATCCAGATGTAAGAGTTCAGGTAAAAGATAAAAGGAAAAGAGAATAAAATATGCAATTTTAACAAAAATATGTCATCAAAATGTCGGCTAGCTATGGATATCAATGTACAGACAACAGATACATCCGTACTTGGAACCAATCCATTGCCTATTGGAATATAGGCAACAGGGAAAGGAGGAAACCAATATACATTAGAAACCTCGGCAAAGTTGCCATAGTCAAATGACACATATAGATAACAAATGCAAAAGTTCAAGATAAAAAACACAACAACAGCACTACTACATAATTGGTGAAACAATCTTATCGCTTGTCTAAAGATAAAAGCTACATGAGCACGGGAGTCTTTCTAAACCAAAAAAAAGGTACATGAACTAGAAAATAACATTTCCCTATCAGAGTAACTATGACAAAAGCCTCACTTGGATTATGGTCCATAGCTTTCGATAGGTAATCATCATCAGGAGTACCCATACTGACATAGATTGCTTTGTAAACGAAGCACAAAGAGAGCCATTTCTGAAATACCTACAGATGCGCGACTGTGTATCTAACATGCAGGGTTTAGTTTACAGCATGCTAAGAACCTGGGCAAGGAAATGACTTAGTCCAACTAAATAATCCAAGAAAACCAATTGAAACTTGAAAGTATATATTACGCTAAAAAAGCCTACAGTTTACCACTTGAATTCAGTAGTCAGACTGATTAGAGGATAAAATTTTTTACATGATTCTCTATCAGTGTAACTATGACAAAATAGCTTCATCGGATTCAGTCCATAGCTAATAAAAGTTTCATCATGTAGAGATCATGTAACCGAAGTGTGGAAAGACACTAATAATAAACAAGCCAAATACAAATAATTGTTTAAAAAAAGGTTGTATAGATCATAAGAAAAAGGAAACGCAAGAAATACTCTTAAGCCCAATTGATCAATCTCCTATAGAAAGGAAAATGTGGCGCAAAAAGGGGAAAGGTTTTAACCATGTACAAATGTCTACCTAAAGAACCCCAAGTATGGCCAGGTAATTATAGGCAACAGGGAAAAGAGGTAATCAACAAACACTTGATTACCTCGGCAAAGTTGCCATCAAACCATATTTCAACACGTAACTTCTCAGAGACAACCAATATATGCTGTAACACAAACACCGTTTGGTTCTGTGAAGCAGCACCATAATGCTCTCTCAAGACAACAAAAACAAAAGGCCAAAATATACATCACAGTTCACACGTCCATAACAAGTCGCTATCAGCCTATCAGGCTCTCTCAAATTTGATAAATTCCATCAGAGTAACTATGACAAAAGCTACATGTGGATATAGATCCATAGCTCACAGAAACTGTTCATCATTAGGGGATGAAAAATAAAAAGCAACATTGTAAATAGAAGACAACATGAAGAATGAAAGATATATTAAGTTGTAAATCAATAAGCAAACTTCATAAACGAGTTCACGATTATCCACAAAACACTAGAATAGAGAAGAACAAAGTGAAGAGAATGCAATGCATGTTGAAAGAAAATGAGGTATACGGTATTTCAAAAAATAAATAAAACGGGAGAAAGGTGCCATGCCAAGAGGCATTCTTGGCAGCTTCCGCTAATTCAATCAGACATCAGTTTCTCTTTGTAAAAAGAAAATGCTACTTCAATAATATGTTACTGGACAAGTCAGATATTTATTTGTTTAACAGAACAATAAGAATAGTACCAATCCTGGCAACGCAAGCAAGAAATTTTTTAAGAACCTCAAGTCACTTGATAATAAGAACAGATGCAATCAAATGTGCCAATCAATTGTAATAATTGATCTAGTATTCGCAAGAAACGACATCAAAGTAGTTGCAGATAAACAATTGTAAACTAACTCTCACATTTTTTCCTGGCCTTACAAGCCTCAAGGCCACTTCAGCAGCAGTGTTAGCAGCCGCAATGACATCAGCTGCCCTTCCTGTCACTGGTCCTTCTTGAAGAACATGAGTATGTGCAACTATAGCAATGAATCCATCTATATGACAACCCATATCACTGCAACAGGAAAAAAAAAAAAAAAAAAAAAAAACCCATAATTTTTCAGTTAAAAACTTTATATTT